GAGGGGGAAGGAGGGAGGAGTTGTATGATAATGATGGTGATAATCATGATGATAACGATACTGCTGTAGAATTATATGGCGATAATGGTGTTCCAAGGCTGCCGCTGCTGCTGCTGCTGCTGCTGCTGATGATGATGATGATGATGATGAATACGGCAAAGGAAGTAAAGAGAGGTCAACTGCGCCGACTGACGTCCGAAGCCTCGCACAAACTGCTGCTGCTGCTGCTGGCGCGTACAACAGGGTACCCGGAGATAACCATCACCCCCACCCCCCCGAGCCCGAAAGTCCCCCTCCCCCACCCTCAACCCACACCCCACACGCCATCTGCCGTACCTGCGCCGTGGATCCAGCCGAGTACCGGTATTTAAATTCCGTAACTGACAGATCCGGATCCGCGGAGAGCGCCGTGGAAATGAATTCCCTGAGCGCGCGTGGCGGTGGGGCCCCCCCGAGGGAGAGAGGGGGTGTTGGTGGTGTTGGTGGTGGGAGCTGTGTTGGTGAGGATGGGTGATTGGGTGACGAGAGTGGTGGTGGAGTTGTAATGGCAAGGATGGTGGTGGTGGATGGTGGTTGAGGCAAAGGGTATTAAATATGGAGTGGGGAAGTGGGGGTAATAAAACACACACAAGGGGGGAGGGGGGAAAATGTGGGCGGGAGCGGGGAGGGGTAAATTAAAGGAGGCGGGTAGGCTACCGGACGAGGTGGCCAGCGCGGCAGTTACCTTTGGCCCTAACCCCCCCGCCCTCGAACCCCCCTCCTCTGGCCTCCCCTTCTACACCCCAACCTCTGCGCAATCCCCAGCACAAACATACCGTACATACATACAGACGTACGCACGCACGCACATACACGCACAACAGCCCCCCCCCACGCTCTCATACTTGAAGGCCCCGGGTCGTTCCGGTATGGTGGTGGTGATGGTGGCCTCCTTCCTGCCGCCCACATCGGCTAGATCGGCAACCAACCGCAGCCGCTCGAAGGTCATGTTGGCGCCGCTGGTGACGGCCACCACCGTCGCGCCTTAGGAGGGAAGGGGGATGGGGTATTGGGAGACGAACCACGAGCGAGTGAAGAGTTTCCGAAGTTTGTTCCCGTTTAGGGGAAGACAACCCCTTTGGGTTCCCCCCAAAGGTGATGCCAAGGAAAGACTGATGCGCCAGGAGGGAGGAGGGGGTTGGAAGGGGGGAAGGAGGAAATGAGGGGTGTGGTGGTATGGCGA